GAACGCGACCTACAGGAGATCCTGAACACCTACGCAGATTTTATTTTTTATTTTTTTTTACGGGGATTAGCCCACCCGGTCACAGGTCACTGACCCACATCGGGGCTTGGGAGGCGAAAATGTAATAATAATAATAATAGTAAATAAAATTTATAATAAAAAAATAAAAATAAAATAATATCAATAATAATAAAAACAACACTAATAATAATAATAATAATAATAATAATAATAATAATAATAAACCATAAAGAAATAAAAAAAGATCAATAGCGAGAACGGTATATGTATCTTGTGCTGTCAAAGTAAGAAAAACATTTGAGACCCTGCAATTGTGTGTAAATGTGGCAGAAAGTCAGATCAGCAACCTGGGACTTGGTCACAATTTTCGTGATGACATATGGCAGCAGGGTCTACCATTAGACAATACATTATTCTTCTAATATCTTCTCAGGTGGTAGTGCCTCCCTGTTTGGTAGCTGCACACTTCGGCCTTGAGGTGAATGTATGTAAGACTCAGATTTTCTTTCACCCTGCCTCTGATTCAGCTACACATCCACCATCTTAATGGTACTACCCTCACTAATGTTACCCACTTTCAGTATCTCGGCTCCCACCTGTCCACCACGGCTGATATCGATGAAGAGATTTCAACATCGGATCAGATGTACATCTCAAGCCTTTGTCAGACTCAGTACCCGTGTCTTCAGCTGTAGGGAGCTGAAATTACCGACAAAGTTGCACGTACAATATATCGAGCAGTGGTCCTCCCCACCCTGCAAAATGGCAGCGAGACATGGGTCACATACAGGAGGCACCTCAAGGCACTTGAAAACTTTCATCAACGTAGTCTACATTCCATCCTCCGAGTTTGCTGGGAAGACCAGAGGACAAATGACAGATTTCTCCTTGACACCAACTGTAGGAGCATCAAGGCTACCATTATCCATGAACAATTACGCTGGACTGGCCACGTTATCCGCATGGACGACAGTACACTGCCAAAGCAGCTACTTTACTTTCATCTAACGAATAGTAAACGCAACGCTGGCGGGCAACTGAAAAGGTATAAGGATAGTCTTAAGACAAACCTGAAAAAGTGTCAAATTGACCCCCCTCACCTGGGAGACGATCACTCCACACCGTAACGCTTGGAGGAGCACCACACAAGGTGTCAATACTTTCGAGTTAGCCCGACTGCATACCGAGGCAGACAAGCGCCAGAGTCGGGAAAAGAAGCTGCCGCCACCCCTCCCACAGTAGATGTAGCCCTCAACACGTGCAACATCTGTGAACGACCCTGCTGGTCCCGTATCGACCTCTTTAGTCACCTCAGAACTCACCAACGTAGGTGACATCCTTAATAACTCGTATCATTGTACCATAACTCGTCATACTTGATTCGAGTGACAGCAAAGTAGTAGTAGTAGTGTGTTGGTGTTGACGGGTGTGTGTTGGTGTTGACGGGTGTGTGTTGGTGTTGACGGGTGTGTGTTGGTGTTGACGGGTGTGTGTTGGTGTTGACGGCGGTTGGTGTTGACGGTGTGTTGGTGCTGACGGGAGTGTGTTGGTGTTGACGGGTGTGTTGGTGTTGACGGGTGTGTGTTGGTGTTGACGGGTGTGCGTTGGTGTTGACGTGTGTGTGTTGGTGTTAAGAAACATAAGAAACATAAGAAAATAAGGAGTCTGCAATAGGCCGGTTGGCCTGTGCATGGCAGCTCCTGTCGAGAGTTACTACCACTCTCTATCATCCATGAATCTATCTAGCCTCCTTTTGAAACTTTCCAGAGTTCCCGCACTTACTACAAAGTTGCTAAGCTTGTTCCACTCGTCCACCACCCTATTTGTGAACCAGTTTCTTCCTATCTCCCTCCTAAACCTAAACTTATCCAACTTGAATCCGTTGTTCCGAGTCCTATCCTGTTCGGATATTATAAGAACTTTATCTATATCCCCTTTATTGATTCCTTTCACCCACTTAAATACTTCTATCATATCTCCCCGCACTCTTCGTCTTTCTAGGGAATGCAAGTTAAGTTTCTTTAACCTATCCTGATATGGAAGGTTTCTAAGTCCCGGAATCATTTCTGTCATTCTTCGCTGCACCGACTCTAGTGAATTTATATCTATTCTATAATAAGGGCACCAGAACTGAACCGCATAATCGAGGTGCGGCCTGACTAGCACAAGATATAGTTGCAATAAGATCTATGCACTCTTGTTACTTAACTTCTAGATATAAAACCCAATACTCTGTTTGCCTTATTTCGAACATTAACGCACTGTTTTCTTGGCCGTAGGTCCGGGCTTACAAGTACCCCTAGGTCGCTTTCACAAGTCGACTTCTCTAGGTTGATGTTGTTAAGGCTGTATACATTATAAGTATTTGTTCTTCCAATATTGAGTACGCTGCACTTGCTGGTGTTGAATTTCATTTGCCATTTTTCAGACCACCCCTGCAGTTTATTTAGATCCTCCTGTAATGCATTTGCATCCTGCCCTGAATTAATTTGCCGCCCTATTTTGGTGTCATCCGCAAACATGCTTATGTCACTGCTGATCCCAGTATCTAGATCGTTTATGTAGATTATGAACAAGAGTGGGCCTAGTACTGACCCCTGGGTAACCCCACTGGTTACACGGCCCCACTCAGATTTAACACCATCTACGCTGACCCTCTGAGTTCTATCGGTGAGCCATGATTTTATCCAATTTAAAACTTCCCCTCGATACCATGAGCCTTAATTTTTCTCAGAAGCCTCTGATGCGGTACTCTGTCAAATGCTTTGCTAAAGTTTAAGTAAATAACATCGTAATTTTCGTCATTATCTACTACCTCGAAGACTTTCATAAAAAATGTCAGCAGATTTGTTAGACAATATTTTCCCTTTGTAAACCCATGTTGAGAGTCGTAGATTAATTTGCTTTTCTCTAGATGTGATCGGATGCTATCTGCTATAATTGATTCAAGAAATTTCCCCACTACTGACGTCAAACTGATCGGCCGGTAATTTGACGCTGATGCTCTGTCTCCCTTTTTGAATATGGGTACTACATTTGCCTGTTTCCACGAGTCTGGCACAACTCCAGTGTCTAATGATTTTGTAAATAAGTTTACCAGGGGTCCGCTAATCTGTTCCCTACACTCTTTCAAGACTCGAGGGAAAATTTCATCCGACCCTGTGTGTTGGTGTTGACGGATGTGTTGGTGTTGACGGGTGTGTTGGTGTTGACGGGTGTGTTGGTGTTGACGGGTGTGTTGGTGTTGAAGGTGTGTTGGTGTTGACGGGTGTGTTGGTGTTGAAGGTGTGTTGGTGTTGACGGATGTGCTGGTGCAGGCTATGACTCCCGGTTCCACGCTTCCACACACCTGGTCGTCCTCTCCACTTTTAGAGGGGCAAGATGACATTCTCCTCTATGTACCAAAACTTATTGAACTTTTTCCTAATACTATATTACTTCCTAAACTTAAGAAGATAAGAATGGAGGAAACTGCAGCGGGTCTAATTTGAAGCTATCCAGCGTATTCGAGTTAATGATAATATTTGGTAGCTTGTTCCACTCGTCCACTACTATTTTTCCAAACCAATGTGTACCTATCTCTCGTCTTAACCTAATTTTGTCTAATTTAAAACCATTGCTCTGAGTTCGTTCCTGGTTGAATAGTTTGAGTACCTTTGTTATATCATCTTTGTTTACCCCCTGACTTCCTTTTTTACACCTTTATCATATCGCCCCTCACTCTACGTCTCTCGAGGGAGTGCAGCTTAAGATGCTTTAACCTGTCTCTGTACTCAAGGTTCCTGTTGCCCCGGATTAGTCTGTATCCATTCTGTAGTACGGTGACCAGAACTGACCTGCGTAATCCAAGTGAGATCTCACAAGATATACGGTAGCTTTAGGATAACCTCGCTAATCTTGTAACTAACACTCCTTTGTATGAACCCAAGTACTTTGTTAGCCTTTTTTCGAGCAAATACGCATTGTTATATTGGTTTAAAATTACTGCTTATCATTACTCCTACGTCTTTCTCACAGTCGGATTCCTCTATAACAACGTTGTTCATCTAATATCTGGTTTCTCTGTTTACATCTCCTAGACTAAGTACTTTACATTTGTCCACATACAGTAAATTTTCATCTGCCATTTTTCAGACCATGCCAAAAGCTTGTTATATCTCCCTGTAGTTTTGCTAAGTCCTCGTCAGATTTAATTACACGTTCTATTTTAGTGTTATCGGCAAATTTACTTGTGCTGCTTTCTACGCCTATATCTATGTCGTTTATGTGTATGTTGGACTCGGAAAACGAAAAGCGACCACAACGCGTTGCGGTTGTTTGGAAAATAATCAGAAACGAGATTTAGCTATAGGTTAGGTTGGGTTAGTTTGGATTAGGTTAGATTAGTTTGGATTGGGTTAGGTTAGTTTGGGTTGGGTTTGGTTAGGTTAGGATAAAATCCAAGACAATAGTGATGGTCAGTACAAAACTGATAATATGTTACACAAATTTATTTGTCAATGGCCCAAGGTTAAAATTGCTTTTAAAGCATTGGAGTTAGATGTAGGATAGATGATTAGTGGTCCCATATTTTTTACCTGACTTAACTTGAATAGTCACGTCGCCCTTTCTAGGACTGCTTTTAGTATCCTGGTGGTCCAGTGGTTAGCGTTCCCAGGTCACAGTCATGGGCTCGTGGGCCGTGGGTTCGAATCTTGGCGGGTTGAGGTGTTGATTGTATGTAGAAGTCCGCGTGTTTATTGGGCTAATGAAATATATATATATATATATATATATATATATATATATATATATATATGTGTTTGAGGATGGTATGTGTGGGTGGTGGCAATGGCTTAAAGGGAGGCCCAAAACATATTCTTCCATTGAGCTTATTCACAGATCGATACACTTTATGTATCAATCATCTCATTACAAAACCTAATCAACTATAATTATATAGGTTGAAGCTCTCATAATTATTATGTTTTGTGTTGCAGGCGGGAAGAAAGTGACGTTCCTGGTGGGTGGTGACGGAGAGCCGGTGGTGGTGGTACTGGGAGGTGCCAAGGAGGACGTTGACACAATACTCGAGGAAAGAGCCAGGCGCCAGGCAGACCTTGAGGCCGACCTCCTCAAGTATGTTAAACACATCTGTTGTGTAGTGTGAAAGGAAGGTGGCTGGAGTAGTAGTAGTACTGGTAGTGGTGGTTGTAGTAGCAGATATTGACTATGAGGCTACTGTCACTGAATGCCGCATAGATCTGCAGCTCAACTAATTTAACACAGATAGGATAGCTTCTTATGTATTAGAATATTTAATATTAAGGTAATTAAATGGTGGCGAAGGTGTGGCTATTGGGGGATGCAGGAGGCCACGTTTGCAAAAAAATAAAAATAAAAAGTATTAGTAGTAGTAGTGGTGGGCCAGCGCAGCGTGGGTGTGGTGGAGTGTCCTCCCTGATCTAAAGTGTTATTGGTGGGGACATATTCGGAGTGTGGGAGCGGGAATTGCACAGTGTGTCGGTGAATATAAGATGTCACTCTAAGCATTGTCACCCAAGGTTCTTCTCATCCCTTACGGCATTAATCGCAAATATTCCGTGTGTTCACCGGCGATCACCAAGCGATTTGCGAGTATTTGGTGGGACGATTAGTGCAGGTGCCAGTGCCAGTGTCGATAGGCCTACTTTGGCAGGGGTGGCATCGAGAGACTCGCCCCTATGGGGCCAAGTGCTCTACACTTGCGGTCGCCTCCCCCAAGTAACAGACACTTCATGTAGTGACGGCTGACCAAGTGAGTATATATAACTAATAATACATCAGTGTGACCATAGAAATAGTGGTTATTTCTGCTAAAGATATATAAACAAGTGTTAGGTGTGACAATTTCTTGCTCAGTTGCTACCTGACCCATCTTGGAGAAGGTCGTGCCCCCAAATGCTCCGTAGTGATCAAGGAAAATGGCCGCCCTGGATCGTTGTGTCTTTGGGGAAGAGGAGCGTAGTGTGGGGAAAGACGACCTACTGGCCACTCTGTTAAGGCAGCTGGGGCAGTTGAGGAGTGAGCTTGACACTCTAAAGGGGGAAAATGAAGCCCTCAGGACTGAACTCCTAGGCAGGACACCTGCGAAGGAGGAGTGGAGAGTGGTTGTCTCCAAGGGGACTAGGGTCAGACTCAGGAAAGCTGACCAGAGTGTGGAGTGTAGTAACCCCTACCAGGAGCTGGAGGAAGCTGGCGAGGAAGAGAAGTGGCAGGATGGTATGGAGCAAGGAGAGGAAAGGGCAGTTGTACAAACCCTGCCCACAGGTAAGGTCGTGGTAGTTGGGGACAGCCAGGTGAGGTTTTTAGATAGGACGTTTTGTGTAAGGGATAGGAAACGTAGGACTAAGGTGTGTTTTCCTGGGGCTGGGATAGGGCATGTAGCTGAGAGGATAGATAGGGTTTTGTCAGGGGAGGGTACCAAGCCAGTAGTGTGTCTTAGTGTGGGAGGAAACGACATAGGAAAGGTTAGGAGTGAGGAACTTTTCAAGAGGTATAGGGAGGCACTGGGGAAGATTAGAGATATGGGAGGGATCCCGATAGTATGTGGTGTCTTGCCTAGAAGAGGGGTTGGTCGTGAATGACTGTCCAGAGCAATTGCTATAAATTGCCGACTGGAAAAACATTGTGCAAACAATGGTTGTGCATTCATTGATAACTGGCAACGATTCTATGGCAACGACTACCTGTACAGTCGTGACGGAGTACACTTGTCTCGTGCGGGGGTAAAGACGTTGTCTGCATCCCTGGAGCGTGAAATTGTCACTCCAAAGGGGGGGTTTCGCCAGTAGAGAGAGGTCGGGATAAGTGGGAGTCAAAAAACAAGCTCGTCCTGGGAAGCAAAATTGGTTACTCAGGACAAGGGGTAAAACAGGACCAGAGAATGGTAGGTTTAAATGTATACTATACAAACAGTAGGAGCGTTAGAAATAAAATAGACTTGCTGAGACCGGTTGTACAGTATGTACCGAGAATGTAGACGTCATAGCAATCACCGAAACTTGGATGAATCTGGCGAGCAAAAATTTTTCATCAGCGTACAACATAGAAGGGTACAACCTTTTTCACAAGGACAGGGAAGGTAGGAAGGGGGGAGGGGTCGCACTCTTCGTCAAGGATACATTAAAATGTTGTATTAATAATTCAATAAAGGGAGAAATAAGAACCGAGTCTGTATGGCTAGAAATCACGGAAGGAAGAGAAAAACTAATTATGGGAGTGATTTACAGGCCCCCAAGTCTTGGGAAAGAAGCAGCTCAGCCCATATGGCAGGAAATGAGTAGGGCAGCAAAATATAACAACCTGTCCATTATGGGGGACTTCAACTTCAGAAATATTGACTGGGACAACATTGTAGGTGACTATGAATCTGAAGACTTCCTAGACGCAGTACAGGACAATTTTTTGAAACAACTAATTACTGAACCTACTAGAGGTGACAATATATTAGACCTAGTATTAACAAATAAAGAAAATATTTTCAGAGATATCACAGTAGGGGAAGAACTAGGTAACAGTGGTCACAGAGAAATCAGGTTCACCCTTATTATAGAATGGATATCAATTCACTAGAGTCGGTGCAGCGAAGAATGACGAAAATGATTCCGGGACTTAGAAACCTTCCATATCAGGATAGGTTAAAGAAACTTAACTTGCATTCCCTAGAAAGACGAAGAGTGCGGGGAGATATGATAGAAGTATTCAAGTGGGTGAAAGGAATCAATAAAGGTGATATAGATAAAGTTCTTATAATATGCGAGCAGGATAGGACTCTGAACAACGGATTTAAGTTGGATAAGCTTAGGTTTAGGAGGAAGATAGGAAGGAACTGGTTTACAAATAGGGTGGTGGACGAGTGGAACAAGCTTAGCAACTTTGTAGTAGGTGCTGGAACGCTGGAAAGTTTCAAAAGGAGGCTAGATAGATTCATGAATGATAGAGAGTGGTAGTAACTCTCGACAGGAGCTGCCATGCACAGGCCAACCGGCCTATTGCAGACTCCTTATTTTCTTATGTTCTTATGTGTGGATTGTCGCCCATAGGGGGGGTGGCCTACACACCAATGCGTGCACGTATGCCCCTGGACATAGCAGTCCAGCCTGTCACCTCTCCGCCCTTTCCTCATAAGAACTAGTTTTATCTCCTATATGGGACCAAAGCAAATATCGGAGGCGGACGTAACTGTCGCCCAAGGTGCAGAACACTATGCCGGGTAACAGACATTGTTGCGTCTGTGCTAGCCAGAACCAAAATTGCACTATCTGTGATTGTGCGAGAAACATCCGACCATGTGTGGTTTGCAGAAAGGGAAACAATTGTCGGAACCCACATGGTAGGAAGCCGACACAGGAGACCACAGTGGATATCGCCGGGACCCAACCACTCAATGATATCCTAAGTGATAGCAGTGAGTCTACTCAACCTGAAAATGTAGTACTAATAAACGCTGCTCCAATAGTAGCAGATGTCCACGAGTTAATGAGAGACGGCCACCACAGTGAAATGACATTTCGAAGGAAAATGCGGACATATGGGTTAAAGAAACTCACTCAGAAATTGTCAGGTGGTCGCCAGCTAACCTGGTTGAACCACCCAAGTGTGCAGCCACCAAAGAAATGATTCGGGAGATGATTCACCTCATAACTGAGTACACTCAGGACTGCTTCCTTACCCCTTTAGCTCTTCAAATACTGGCAATAATACCACATCTATTCTGTCAGAGGACACACCCAAAGACTAAGCACAAAGAAAATGCGGCAGCAATGAAGAGAAGATTGACAATGTGGCAGAATGGAGCCCTTGATGATCTCTTATGTGAAGCAAGTACACTGCAGGAGAGACTAAAATTTACAGGAGTAGGAAAGCAAAACACCGATGACGTTGCAAGAAAGTTTGGAAACAAAATGCGTGTGGGAAAAGTGTCTTTGGCGGTAAGATCTCTCACAGAGGAATCCTTCGGTGGGGTTCTGCCAATAAACAGAGAGACATTAAAACAACTGAAAGAAAAACATCCCCCTGCAAGTGAAGACGAAGGCATCAGGTTCCAGGGTGACTATATCCCACCAAATGCTGTCCTGTTCGAGAAAATAACAGGAGGGATGATGTGGAAAAAGGCACTGAAGACTTGAGGAGGTGCCAGCCCTTCAGGTCTGGATGCAAACGGTTGAAGAGTCATCCTCAGCACTAACAAGTTTGGCCCCGTAGCAAGTGATCTCTGCACTGCCATTGCCATCCTTGCAAGAAAGCTGGCATCCTCGTGCTGCCAACACCTCCATGCTCTGATGGCCTGCCGCCTCATTCCCCTGGATAAGAATCCAGGATGTAGGCCTATAGGGGTGGGGGGAAGTGCTGAGGCGGATCATCGAAAAATGCATAATGGAGGTGGTAAAGGATGATGTCAGGGCAGCAGCAGGGAACCTGCAAGTTTGTGCTGGCCACCAGGCTGGAGGGGAAGCTGCCATTCACGCCATGATAATGATATTTGAGCAGCGTGATTGTGAGGCCGTTCTCCTGGTGGACGCTTCAAACGCATTCAACATACTTAACCGCAAGGCCGCACTGCACAACATCAAGATCAAGTGTCCAAGCTTTGCAATGCATGTTGAAGACTCCTATAGGATTCCATCAGACCTTTATATAGTATACAACAAGGGGATACCATCATACAGTCAACAGAGGGAACAACGCAGGGGGACCTTGTTGCAATGGCAATGTATGCAATAGGACTATCCGTGCTCCAACACACAATAAAATTTGAAACAACTGAGGTCAAGCAAGTGGCGTACGCTGATGACCTTACAGGAGCAGGAAAAGTGGAGGACATAAAAAAGGGGTGGGACCTGGTAACATCACGAGGCCCACAAATAGGGTACCACCCAAATGCCAGCAAGTCCTTCCTCATTGTGAAGCCAGAACATTATGAACGGGCAGTGGGGGTGTTTGGCGGAAGTGAGGTCAAAATAACAAAGGATGGCCAAAGACACCTAGGCGCAGTAATCGGCATGACGGACATCAAGACCGAGTACGTAACGGGAACGGTGAATGAGTGGGTTAGGGAAATCCAAGCTCTGTCTGAGATTGCTAACACAGCCACATGCGGCTTTTGCGGCATTCACCCATGGAGTCAAGCATCTCTGGAACTACCTGATGTGCACTATCCCTGATATCCGACCC